CGACGGGGGCCGCCGCCAGGGAGCGCCCCGCCCCGCACCGCCCAGCGGGCGCCGCCGGGCGGCCGGGCGGGCGGATGGAGAGACAGAGACAGACAGGGCGGTGGGGCGAGGGCCCGCTGCTGCAGGACGGCGGCCGCTCCGCCAAGCCCGGGCGCGGGCGAGGCGGAGCGGAGTGGGCGGGGTGCAAGGAGCGGGGCGTCTTACTGCCATCTCTTCGGCATTTGTCGAAGCGGGTGAGCAAGGTTGTTCTTTTCTACAACTGGGTTCCGATACTTTGCGAAATTGTTGGGGCTCAGGTGAGGCGGGGCGGGACGGTAGACGGTTGTCTGAACGCCGTCCCTTGGGAATTTCTTGCTGCTGCTGAACAAGGAATATCTTTTATAAAATAAAAATCAGATTATTTATTTCGGAATTGGTTGGGTGGACGCAAGGAACAGCCCCACAGAGGGAGGATCACTCTCTGAGGTGCGTCGTCGTCTTGAGTTTCTCAAGGGAGGAAGAAGGAGAGTCTTTAACGAACTGGTTCGTAAAGTCAAGGATATTGTTTACTCTGATGTTTTGTCCCTTTTCAGAGCAATCTGGACAAAATTGAAGCATGGAGAAAAGGTGGGAGTTGAAAAGGATGATAATTCCTACGGAACTGACGTGGCTTGTGTTCAACCGACTGAACAGAACTCTTATTTGCCAAAACCATTTGAGAAAGATGTTTCGATCCAGTTTGGATACACACGCCTCAAGGCGAGATGAAGCGAGCTACTGAGTAAGCAATTGATTTTAGATATCTGAGACTGAATCCTTTTCAAAAAGGTTTGAAGGGTGTGAAGTGACCAAAGCGGGTCGTTGCAGTCACGAAAATCGACGTCTTTGGAATTTCTAACTCTATCAAAAAAGTGGTGAAAGGAAGAGAGATTCTGGGTGTAAGGAATGAGTCATTTTCTCCCTAGACACTGTCGACGTGTAGATTTAAGCGCGTGGATAAGAACGATGCTTTTTCAAAACCGCGGGATTGGAGTCTGATGCGTGATCCTTTTTCAAGAATTCTTCGAAGGTGAGTGAAGTGAGGGGGGGGTTGGCTAAGACGGAGAATGGGTAACTTTTTTAATTTCATGAAGTTCTATATGTAAAGTAACCGGAGAATGATGAACTTTCGCCGAAGTGGTGCGGTGATATACGGTATATGGTGCTCCTGTCCCTTTGGCAATTGCGCAACTGTGGGCTAGACAGGTGGCGGATATTGAAATAGCTGTATTTGTTGATAGAGATAAAAAAAGTAATATATTAATAAGACGATGTAATGAGATACGGTAGTAAGGGTTTGTTTTTGTCTAAGAAATTAACAAAATATTAATCGTGCGTGTATGCGTGTATCATGTCAAACTACGTCCTAATTAAGTTTTAGCAAGCGCGCATTTTGCATTGCAATATCTTTCACGATTTATGACGTATCTTGAAGAGAATTATCTGCAGTTATTGGTGAGTACACTAGTTCTCCAAAGAAATTGGCACCTTGTCAGTTCGGATGATCCAAACCTCGTCTGAAGAGAATTGGTGGAAGAAAGATTTCGACATCTTGCGGTCGATCCCATCTTGGGGACAAACTGCACCTAATGAATGAATGCAGAGATTTGTGCATTCCTTGAGACTGTAATAATAAAGATCTACGTATTTACGAAGCGAAAGTAAGGACAATTGCGTATGCCTGTTTTATTGGAAAGCTACATACAGAATATGCAGTACGAACTACACTACTTTGTGATTTAATAAAATGAGTTTCTACAAAAAGAACATTTTTTATTTACACCAATATGCGACGAATATTGACGTTTGAGTTTGAGGTGATGATTTCCAATGACACATCTCATAAAGCACTGTGAATTTTATAAAATTAAAATCTTGTTAACAATGTCCTTTAAATGATTTAATATATGCATTCCAACTTTTGGCACATCTAAAATACTGGAATGAAGTTAATTATTTTTTGAGAGAATCGTACCTTTTATTACATTTTTCGTTCTGGAAGAAAATTGATTGAGGAGATTTGAGAGACAATTTGGTCTACCATTCAGGAATGAAGTTATGAAAATGTTATAAAGAAATTTTCTTTGCAACGTATTTTTACAATGTCTTCCACCCAGAAAAATTACATTTAGGATATAACTAAAAGAATAATGTAAAATAGACATGTAATCACCATGGCTATTCTGTGGAATGAACCTAAATGCATATAAATCTACATTCAGAAATGTGATTTATTAAATTTAAGATGTGTGCTTCACAAACATGGTTTAAACAAACCGTATGGAGCCTCTTGTCCGTAATTGATCAAATATGTTAATAGCATTTTTATTTTTATTTTCTACCTATGTCGATTAAGTTTTTTCTTCCGCTGGATAATCGCAATTGGCGACGACCATACGGCACGAATCCGGAGAAAGAAATCCTTTACAGCAACTCCCCGCGCTACAATCCGCCCATTTAAATGCATGAACCAGCGACCATGCTCCACCGAGAGAATCACATCTAAACGAGATCGTTGTTGAAAACCGACCGAAAACGGCGTCATTGGAGATGCTATACCTCTTTCCAAACTCAAACGTCAATACCTTCTCCGCATCGAGAGAGAATTTCAAGATATGCGCTACAGTGGTTTAATCTACGCTGGGAGATAGGGCGTCCGTAGCATTCTAAGGCAAAAACAGTGAAATGGCTCAAGGAGGCGCTGAATAAAACGGCGGGGTCGGCCAGAGTTCAAGAGGTGGGAGGAGATTGCGCCGTTGTTGAAGCAGACGTCTGCAATTGCTCGCGGAGCGGGGGAAACAGGAGTAGGAGGAGCAAGCGCCACGCGACAAATTGCCGAGTCGCCAAGGGATGAGGGCGGCGGAGGGCGCGGAGCCGAAGGGGCGATGCGGGGGTGAGCCGGGGGCGCCGTCGGAGAGGTACTCACTTCGTCTCGTCGATGAAGACGGCTTCCAAGACGCGCGTGGCGTACATGAGGTTCTGCTGTAGCACTTCGGCCGGCACTTGGCCTTTTTCCAGTTGGCGCAGCAGGCAACGGAGCCTGGGGAGAGAACAGGAGATACATAGAAATGTGTTTTACGTCTCGCTGCATTGGAATTACTATTGCTTACTGACACTTTTGTTTAGATTGCTTGTTTTATTATTGCAGTTGAATAATGTATTTACAATGTAAAATATTAATGAAACTAAATCATGTGAAACTAAAGTTTGGAGAAGTTAAAAAGTCTCGAGTGTGTATATTTTGCACTTTTCATAGTTATTGAAACAATATCTTACTTTATTGGTTTTGTATATCAATATCTATGATTTATACGTTATATTGTGAAGCTTGTATTGTTAACGAACACTGATTATGTAATGTATAATTAATTTTCATATAATTATTGATAAATTGATTATTAACTGCAAGAGGATATTACCCTATTGCTGTATTAATATCAGGAAATTATTACTTACATTGAAACTATGTTAACTACATCTGGTTTAGTAAAGAGATGTCGGTCTCTTAATTTACGGTTTCCATTTCTTTCATTAGAAACGAAAGAGTGTTACACATTGGAAGTGAAATGGGATACGACTTCTAAAATGTACGTTGATCTGTAATGCTTAAGCTAGTCGCTACAAAATGGTCAGTTTCAGCAGTGTACGCAATGTACGATCAAGAAACTGTTTTAGGCCACAAACATTTTTTTATTTTGAATCTGTAAACCATCTTATTTTATTTAGTTATCTTTTACTTTGTGGAATAATGCTCGCAAAGCAGAATTGTTAGTTGCAAAGTGCGGATATCCACAAATTATTTTAAAAAAAATAGATAGCTTCTTTGGATGTCCTTCCATTTAGCAATTACTTGACTGAATAACTTCAGAGAATGTTGCAACATAAATTGTGTAGTGAACTCAACATGTTTGTAATATCTCTTACAGTCTCTTACAGAGTTTAATGATCCAAAGTTATTAACCCAATTGTCGAGTTTTAGGATAATTCCAAATGTGTGTGTGAAGGCAATGCAAAAGCGCAATAATTATTTTTCGCTTCTACGAGAGTTATCAAACTCGCATGTACTCATTATTATAATAATGTATCAAAATGCCGCTAATGTAAATATTAATGATGTGAGATACAAGCCAAAAAATTACATTTTTGTAATTTAAAAAACAAAAGAATCGGGCAATATGGCGTTTATGACATATTTTAGAGCATTTAGCACTATCGCTACAAAAAGTATAAGAAAAAATTTAGAGCTGTTTTTGGGAAAATCTTGTTCTTGTAATTTTTTTTCAATTGCACATATTGCTCGCAGTATTTCCCAAAAACTATTTAACTTTTTCAATAATGTACACGACCTTAATGAAAGAACTCACCATGGACAACAAATTCCATTTAAAGGAAAAATTTTCAATTTTGTAATTATGGAAAGACGCCCAAAAAATTTCAAAATTTCAACATTTTCGAAAATTCAGAGGTAAAATGCACATTTCCAGCAATTTGTTTACACAAATTTTTGTGAGTTAAAGTGCTTCATATTACTTTTACTCAAGACTTTCAAAAACATTCATTACTAATATCACCCAAATGATGCGTGCAAAATTAAGACGGGAGTGAAGAAAGTGAATTTTAGACACATTCTACATCTCATATTTGTGTAACTTTTGGGTGAAAATATGTTTTAAATTTCGAATTAACGTTCAAATTTAGTAGCGCTTAAGCACAATTTTCTTAAAAATGGCCATTACAAGAAAATTGCCATTTAGGACGAGGTTTTGCTGTTCTTTAATATTTCCGTCCAGTATTACGAAAATAACAAATGGGGAAAATTTAAAAAAAATGTATTCGGAGGCGATAGATGGCAGCTGGAAAGAGTATTTGGCAAATTTGAATAGCTAGCCGAGACCAAATAAAATAGGAAACTAATACGGGAAAGTCTTTGCCATTCTGTAGCACCACTAGTTGAACATTCTATTACATTTTTTCTGAGTGGGAGGCGTAGACGAAGAGAGAGAAAGGGATATGAAGGGGAGAACAGCGTCTGCCGGGTTTCGCTAATATAACATATTACTTATTCGTTGGTACGTCATCATTCCTTTGAAATCCGAATACATCGGGCAATAGATGAAAACTTCTGTAGTTGGTGTTCGAGCTCTAAGCTGCACTAAATTTCTCGTTCAAGACGTTTCCGAATGTCGAATTTCAGTAGTGGTCTGCGCGGAGACGCGATTATTTCACAATACAGCATTTGCAACACGGCCTGATGAAGATCCTACAAGTACGTCAAGACATTTACATTTCCAGAACACGATATCTCTCGGACATTGCTAGCAAAGGTTTTGACAAACAGCTTAAGAATTTCAATAAATTTATCTAGGCGGATGCCAGAATTACATGTCTTCAACCTTCGCGGGTCATGTCTTCAGACTGTTCAATGCATCCTGAGACTATCTTGAGCTTATCTCATATATATTATTATACTAACCAACACGTACGCTCTCAACTTTTTTACTCCCTTCTGAATCACCTTCACCTTAACTTTGCCTTCTAGACACAGAGCCTTACAACCAGCCCATATTTAGCTTGAGAAGATATATTTTGGCTGTTTGTAAACAAAAATTACTCACTCCCAGGAAGAGAACTGACTCTTTCATCGAATGTTTTAAAATCGTGTTTACTTTTTATTTTCCCTTAGTTTGTAGACGTTTACTTGTGGGCAGCAATCCTGAACGTCGCCTTGTTGAAGAAGACATAAGGCTCCCTCTCACCTCTGAGGTTAATGAATAATATTATTGATAGTGTTGAAAGCAGTCTTACGTGCATTACTATAAATACATGTATAATCATACAAAATATCAAAATTTGACGGGTTCACTTCTATTCTTGTAAAGGCACGTTTTATTGAGTTGTATTTTGCAGCCTTCGTGAATAATAGAAAACATTTCTGAGGCTGTGCAAAATAGTACCCCACACATAAACTAACAGCTATCTAATTATAACCATAAGAGAATATGATTTGATCGATTAATGGCTGAATCCAAGATGTCAGCTCGCCGACGTTTCGGAAATTATATTTTTCCATCTTTAGAGCCCGCCAGAGAACATACTATTTACCAAGATGTGTGTCGGATCGTTGAGTGTCATGTTTTACAGAACATATTCAAATAACCTAAATGGCCTAAACTTCATAATTATCATTTATTTTTTGACTCAGAAATGAAAATGTCCCCCATTCCCCCTCAGAAAACAGTTTTCTTTAAAAATTGTGTAACGCGACGCATCGCGAAGGCACCAGTGCGCCGCCTTATCACCAGCGTTATGCGCTAAAAGTTAACATTGCGATCATCAAGCCCTCTTCAAGGTAGAATTAGAGTATGTCCAATGTGCAATATGCGGATGAAACGCTGTCATTGTTTTGTTTGTGACCGGACTCTTGTAGTCAGATGTCTAATTTGATAAGAGTTTTTACTCAGAGATTCCGGATTGTGGAACGTACTAATGTTATACTAGTTATTTGCGTGTTAAATAACTGAATAAATTTCCAAAAAACTAGAACTGCTTATTGCGTGGGACGTTATAAGTCTTAATACAATGCAATAATACGATACGTTTATCTAATTATTGTATGAGTGACATTGCTTTTGTGGTGGAAACAACAATTGTCGGATACTATTGCTTATTCGGCTAGGATAATATGGATGGTACACTGTTAAAACAATTCTAATCGTTTGCCTAACACAAAGAATGATGTAACGAATCAATTAACATTCATGTTTTGTAATGAAAAGACCTGCACAGATCAAAACAGAGCAGTAGTGAACTGGCTCGGGATCTTACGGATACACGTGAGATTCAATTAAGCGGAGGTTAGAAAAATCAATTGAAGGAAGTTTGTTGTTATATTTACTAACCCTTTTATTTTTCTGTGTACGTCGTCATTTATGTATAATAATAAATATTTAATAGCTTTTGAGAGAAAGAAAGAGAGAAAGAGAGAGAGAGAGAGAGAAAGAGAGAGAAAGAGAGAAAGAAAGAGAGAAAGAGATGGAAAGAGGTAAGGAACGAGGGGTCCAAGGTTGAAAAGATTTGAACATATTTAGTATTTCAAATAAGAAAAATCCTATACTAATATCCTCATTGTCACTCGGTTGCTTTAGAAGGAAAACAAATCCATTGTATTGCTTAAAAATGCTTTGTGCGTTGTTCATTTCATATTTTCTCCATTGTAGGAATACCTTCAACAAACTGTTCACTATGTTCATTACTAATATCACCCAAATGATGCGTGCAAAATTAAGACGGGAGTGAAGAAAGTGAATTTTAGACACATTCTACATCTCATATTTGTGTAGCTTTCTAACCATTTTGTGGCCAATATTTTATTATTGTCTTCTTTCTTTGTCCAGATAAATGCAGGCACAACCCTCTTAAAGGGTTACCAAACTGCTAACTCAATCTCTGAATTATAGAAAACACACAATTTACTCATTAACCCTCACATGTCTTTACAAAAACAAAAGCACCTTCAATAGGAGAATATTGGGCGATGGTCTCTTTCCAAAATCTGATTTTTTTGTCTTGGCAGCACATACTATAATCTGGAGGCTATCATTTCAGATTATTTTCTTGACAAATGCAGGCCTGATACCAAATCATTCAGGTCTTCCTTCTCTACTAATACTAAGATAACTAAGACGTACTCGTAAATTGGGCGCGACTACTAGATACCAGAATAAACACGACAATCTTCGAATACAGAAGGTAAAAAAACACGAAAGGCTAATTTTATTGATATCCCATAAAAGTGGCATTATGATCTGAACAAATATGTTAAATAGATTTTATGCGTATGGATTATACATATCTTACGAAGGCAAATGAAATGTATTTGCATTACAGCAAAAAACGATATGATTCAGTATATAGATATAGTATATTTAAAAACTGTGACGTGATATGACGTTTTTATTGTGATTTTCGTAATCTACGTATAAAATTGAATACGTTCCTCACCTTCCTGGAGATTATAATCTTATTTCGTGATGTAATTTCGCAGCATGCCACTTGGCGCGAGACGTGCTATCAGAAGATATTCTTGACATCACTGTTTGAATTTACCCATTTTGGGACTCTAATCTGCTCAATAAGATTTTCTCCATTTTGATTTTCTAAAGTGAAACTTTAAGAAACCACTTTCGTATTGAGAATTATTGGAATCAAATAATCCATGGCCCACTAATAACAACTATAATAAGTTTTGTTACAAATGTTTTTTTGAACACAAGAATGTTCTCATAATCCATGGTGTCGTATTAGCTACTATCAACATCAGTCAATCACTTCTTGCAGGATGAATAGTCAAATTGAAGCAAAATGTATGGTTCATTGGAGTTTTTTCAAAGTTGATAAAACGTTGTACAAACATCCTGACGTAACGTTTCGTAACAATAAACAATTTTCTAATCTCGTACTGAAATGTCCTCAGATTCTTATTTCATAACTAATTATATTATCATGTATACGAGGTCATGGATGTGGCATAGAAATCAACATGGGAATGGCTATGATTGAGAATGTGGACTTGCACGTTGACGTAATTGTTGGTGTGAGTGTGGATGTGAGAGAAAGCGTTGACATGGATGTAGTCGTGAACGTGTGCGTGGCGTGAGCGTGTTTGTAGGACTGAACGTGGGCATGGAGGTGGGCATATGCACAACATGAGCGTGTATGTGGACGACGGCGTGAATGTGGGAGAGGGTGTGTAGGTGGACGAGGACGTGTGGTGTGGGTGAGGGGGTATGTCAGTGGGGATATATGTGGGTGAGCAAGCGAATGTGGGCGAGCGGGTGAATATGGGTGAGCGAGTGTATGTGGATGAGCGGGTGAGTGTGGGTGAGGGAGTGTATGTGGGTGAGAGGGTATATGTGGGTACGCGGGTGTGTGTGAGTGAGCGGGCGTATGTGGGTGAGGTGTTGTATGTGGGTGAGAGGTTGTATGTGCGTGAGGTGTTGTATGTGGGTGAGGTGTTGTATGTGGGTGAGGGGGTGTATGTGGGTGAGGGGGTGTATGTGGGTGAGGGGGTGTATGTGGGTGAGAGGGTGTATGTGGGTAAGGGGGTGTATGTGGGTGAGGGGATATATGTGGGTGAGGGGGTATTTGCGGGTGAGCGGGTGTATGTGGGTGAGTATGCGGGTGAGGGGGTGTATGTAAACGAGGGCGTGCGCGTGGGCGTGCGCGTGGGCGTGGCGGTGGGGCACGCACCTGAGCGCCGCCTTGTCGCAGGCGTCGGGCGTGTCGACGGGCGGCAGGCTGTCGGTGGCCATGTCCACCTCGTCCAGCGCCTCATCACCCGGCGGCGGGCGGCCGCGCGCGCGCCCGCTGCTGCGGCGCACGATCGTCAGCGACCCTTGCTCTGCAACACGCGGCGGCGCGCGCCGGGGGCACTTCAGCAGGGGGGCCATTAATGCACAAGCAGAGTAACCTCGAGCCTTGCCTAGCGCCCCCGCTGGACAAGGGACATCCAATTTTTTTTCAATAAAAATGAATTTAAGTTTATAAAATCAAAAAAATTAACTATTTTTATTAACCGTGAATAAAAAATGATGAATGCCATTGATATTTAAAATAGATTATGCAAATCTAAAAAAGAAGTGCTGTACAATGGCGATAAGCACAATGAATTAGCAAATATGTTTTAGAAATTACAGCTTTAAACTACTGAATATGATGGAGAAAACTGATATTATTGATACTTTTAAATCAATTGATAGGTTTAGATCAATTAATTGAGATTCCTGAAAATAAGTGATATTTGACATTCCATACTTAGCTGTTGTCATACATACTCGTACATGTATGTCTACGTATTATATTTATTATTCAAGTATAAAATGTGTAAATTGAAACGTCCGAGTTTTATTTCCATTTCAGTTACATTTGTTTAATATTTTAATGTTCATGGGGGATCATAATTTAGTAATGCTTAGGGTTCCATACTCGAAAAATATAAGTGTGTATCGTAGTAATGTGGTGTAAAATAAATAATAGTAAAAATACTAATAAGCCTATAGCGTAAAATAATTAATAGAGTGTAAAGTAAGCAATAATTGTTCTCCTAAGAAATTAGAAAGGCTCGGACAGGTCAATTAGAGCTTTAGGGAACATATCCAGAGATCTGACAAAACTTTGAATACCCTAGGCCGTATGTGAGTTTAACATACCAACATCTCCATGGACCACTCCATTAGGTACCAGTGAGATTCCCTTTTTGTAAAGCAGTACCAGAATTAAGAGAAGGAGACCAGCATTAAAGCTGAAGATGTACGACACTTACAAACTCACCAACACCATTTACAAAAGTCAATCAGGACTTTTGAAAACATATTCGAATTTACTGGATCAGAAAAATATGAAACCTGGAACCCTTCCAAAAAACATTTTTCGTTGATGAATAAATTGTTACTACGTTACACATGCTATCTTTTTTGTGAAATGCCACTCTAAATATTTGTTTTCGCAAAACGAGAATGAGTATGATGCGATTCACAAATAAAAGCCATGTTAGCAAAGAAACAAAATATTTATAGTTAACGAATAAGAAAAAGAAGTTATTATACAAAAAGAGTGAGGGTATGTATCTTTGCATGTGCTCCAGAAACTTCAGAACCACTGAAGTTATTGCGCCAAAATTTGGCACGAACGCTTTTCAATGACCAAATATTAAAACAGCGTACTTTCTAAGCAAAAGGTCATTGTGCTTTTTTATAATGTTTAAATAAAGTCTATAATGCATTTGTGCAGCATTATTGCTGGGAGTTGCCGAGCGGGACCGGGTGGAGCGGGCGGAATTGAGGGGGGGGGTGGAATGGAGTTGGTGGAATGGAGAGGGGTGGAATGGAAGGGCAGAATGCAGGGGGCGGCTGGAGAGTAGCGAGCAGTACAAGAGGGGCGGAAGGAGCAGGAGGAGGGGTGTGAAAGCAAGGCGAGAGAGAGAGAGAGAGAGAGAGAGAGAGAGAGAGAGAGAGAGAGAGAGAGAGAGAGAGGAAGAAGCGAAAGGAGTGGGAGCAGGCGGAGCGAACAGAAGAGGAGCGAAAGAGAGCGCGCCGTGTGGAAGGAATTGGCTTGGCGGAATGAGTGGACAATGTGGAAGGAGCATAATGAGCGAGAGGAACAGCTAGAGTGGAAGGGACAGATGAATGTGGTGGGCTGTGAAGGGTTTGTCGAGGCAAATCGGATAGAGCGGACGAAATTTCTTAATAGATTATTGTGGTAAATAAATACCAGAGCATCCCTTAGTAATTAGCTAGTTTTTTATACTTCTTCTAATTATTATTTAATGTTAATGCATTACATCTCACCACAGTTTTTAGAAAGTTTGTTTTCAAAATACAAACATGGTTCATGACATTTCTGCCACGCATTCAGAAAAAAATGCACTGGAAAATAACGAGAGAAAACATTAGTTTGTATACTCGAGTGAAACACTTTGAGACAAAATATACTGGAGGAATTGTAAAAAGGACAATTCAGATGGATCGTTCTCTTAAGAAATGACCCAATTTTAGAACACAAGGCCTTCCATCTTTTTGTCTTTCTCTATGGTCGTAGATACGTTACGTGACTAGAATGTGGCATTAAGATTTCGTCGAACTGAGTTACAACGATCTAGATGATAAAGCACTTTAGAAAGCACTGTCTAAAATTTCTGCAGAAAAGTTTATGGAACGATAAAATGTCTTTTGGGAAATAACGGATATCGTTTTTATTTCAAACAACATACTTTTTTCTTGTAAAATGTGAACCGCGATGGGACATAAACTGTACAATTACAAAATATGATTTCTGGATGTGTAAGAATGAAAAATACACCTTTAAAAATAACTGACAATATTAAACAAAACCGCTATTGTTCAAAACTACTATATTAAACATTCAAAATCTTTGATTTTACATTTGCTTTTGTTAACACGGAACTAAGTAGTTACATTATTATAAGCATATTTGTCTATTTATAATTATTTCGATATAAAATAATATAACGAATTGTTGGAAGACTTATTGGGGTTTCTTCACACAATATTTCAATTCAATTCAAACAATTTTTGCTGTAAATGAATGGTATTGAGCCACCGATGTTTTATCGCTTGCTATTATTAACCGTTTTTATAAAAAAATCATAACTTTACGTAATATCATAAAAATAATAGAATAAACGTTCATTAGTCGTCATTTACTTTAAATTGTGTGAGTGGTAATCGGCATATTGAGCCCCGTCTCGATCAGATGATAGCTGAATATTGCTTTCACATACACCTCAACAATACATCAATAATAATCATTGTATTTAAAATCACTCGTCGAACATAATCTTCTATATTAGCTTCTCTTACAACAGCTTCGTACACGTTTTCTCAAAGAGGAAGTTTCGAATGTTTATTCTATTAACATTTGTTCGGTCTTCCAACATGTGCAGTAGAGTAGTGCGAGTAAGTGTAAGGCAAGTGTAAGGGTAAGTGTAAGTGTAAGGGTAAGTGTAAGTGTTAGCGTAAGTGTAAGTGTAAGCGTAAGTGTAAGGAGAGAGGACAGAAACGGATCAGAAAGATAAGTCAGCGTGCGTTTGTCAGAGTACTGTCCGGCTTTCGTCTGTCATTGATCAGCAAACCCACGGAAAACTACCGATTAGAATAGTCAGCCTACAATTCTCGAAGCTGTGATTGAACTGACTCAGGTGTCAAGCTATAGCTGGAATTCCGCCACCAGTGGGAACCGAACTCTAGGTGAACGACGCTCAACAATCAACAATTCTTCTTGTATTCTTATTTAACAAGCCAATCACACCATTTGATACACAACAAGAATTAGAAGTCCAAACGTTCAACCCCACTAACCACAAGTCCTCCTCCTGTTTGCGTCTTAACTGCTACTACTAAGCAACTATCGTGGAACTCGCACATCGCGATACACTGAAACTTGGCCGGGACGCCGTCACGAACTCTGCTTCTTGCGGGACGGTTTCCCTCCCCCACAGTCCCAAACGTAATTCGATAACATTGAAGGGCAGGTCGAAAGGGCGGCACTTAGGGAGAGCGCCTCCTCCCATGAGGCCACTTGCGGCGGCCCCGCCCCCGCACCCCGAAGCCCTGTCTGTGCGAGCGCAACTGTAGGGCCGTTCGCCTGGCGACTGCTCGGAGAATAGGAGAGGTGTACTAGTCCTCAGCCAGGGATAACTACTTCGGATAGTATGTTGGTGACAAGTTGAGGAAGGTAAGGAAGAATACACAACTCTAGGAAATGTATTGTTTAAATGTGGAGGCAAGCTGGTTTTCAAACAACCAACAGCGTTTGTACGTGATCTTTTGAGAATTATGTTACGAAATGTGTTGTTTGAAATCGAGTTTAATCATATTAATGACTATTAATCTATTTCACTCATCACCAATTGTGAATAAAAATTCATTCAATTTCATCGAATCCCAGCTTTCAGTAAAAAAAAAAAATACCCCGTAAGTGTAACTCAATAGATGTAAATGCTAAAATAACTTTGTTTGAATTGATTTCATATAAAAAATGTTTTTGTAAAATTCATTCAGATATGTTTCCAATGCTGCAAAGCACTTTAAAAGTAGCATATTCATAGAAAGGTCCGATTTAGTTATATTTTTGGTTGTATGAAGACATGTCACATAACTGTAACTTGTTTATAGTAGTATATTTTATCAACTAATTTTATTGCACGAACGTGGCTATCAACTACCAAGAACTCAACTATTAACTATCAACAAGCTTTATTGCAAGAGTAAATGCTTTGAAAACGAGAAACGAGTGACAAAAAAGAGAGAGTTTTCAAATTTGTACGAAAGCAACAAAGCAACATTACAAACGAGTTGTATACGTTAGTTGTTTGTATCACAGGATTATAAATTTACAAGAGAATCAAATCATTTTGCGAAACAACTTTACTATGAAGTACGGGTATTTGACATCTGTGCTAAAGAACGGCAGTCGGCAGTTCCGTTTGACCACTATCGCCCCACTTCTCTCGATGCGTTAGATGCGCTGTGTGAAGTTGCAGTTATTTGTTCTACAAACGGCAAATACGTTATCATCTATGCCATAAAATGTCATTCTCTTCTATTCCCCATATGTCACATTTTACTCTTTTTTGACTAAATAAATGAAATCAAATCATTTTATGAACGATTTCTTGAAACGCAAAAGGTAGTTTATATTGCTGGAATACAAAAAATAATAATTTGGTCCAGTGATTCTGCCTCTTGATGCAAGCATAAATATTAAATTGTGTTCATAGAGTGTGGGACATTGTTGGTCGTGATTTATTACATCTTTACCAAAACTCTTCCACAATCCCTCGGCCTGTCATCTTTATGTGCAATCTATGCATATAACTGAACGGATCCCTATACAAGAACAATGGTGCAAGCTGAGAAATGGTGTCAATGGA